AATAAGCTTAACATGCCAGCCATCTCATTAGAGGTGGCATTTGAATTCAATTGAAATAAGGAGACTTATTGTCTCTTGTTACAGAGAAATTTTAAGATTGCGGTTATATATGACTTTCAGCGTTACTGATATCGGATGCTCAATCCTTCGAGCGCCATTTCTTAGTGCCCGATGACGAACATAAGGTGTGTTGAACAATTATGAGGTTGACATGAGAACGCGAAGGTGTAATGTGACCCGAAGACTGCTATATAAATCGAATTGCTTCCAAACATATGTAATCTTTCTGAACTATAACAGGCGGGATACAGAATAAAGATACAAACCTTAAACACATCTTTATAACCCTTCTCTTACTACTACTACTACTACTACTACTACTACTACTACTACTCCTGCTGCTGCTGCTGCTACTACTACTCCTGCTACTGCTACTACCATTACAGTAAAGACGCTACCCCTAACTGTCTTTCCTGTTCCTCTTCTGTATAGAAGTATATATTCTAGGATGCGCTTTGGACATGTCCCTCAGTGATTTGGAGGGGCGGTTGGGTAGCCTTATGGTTAAAGCGTTCGCTCGTCGCGCCAAAGCCCCGGGTTCGATTTCTCACTGGGTACAATGTGTAAAGCCCATTTCTGGTGTTCCTCGCCGTGACATTGCTGGAATATTGCTAACAGCGGCGTAAAACTCACTCACTCGATGATGTGGAACTAGCGCTATAAAAATATTCTTCTTATTAGTATAATTATTATTACTACTACAACCACTACTGCTGCTACTGCTACTACAACTACTGCTTCTACAACCACTGCCGCTACTACTGTTACCACCACCACTGCGACTACTACCTCCACTACTGCTGCTGATACTACAACTGCTGATGCCGATACTACTACTACTACTACTGCTGCTGCTGCTGCTTCTACGTTATACTGGAAATGGTGGTGATTACTGACGACCCTTTCTAAGACCCTATGATCGGGGAATCCGTGAGGTAGTAAGCTACCACCGTGAAATCATTACACAGGAACGACGAGGAACGAGTGTCAAATACATGTATCCGCACAGGATATAGAAATATATAAATATATTTCTTCTAGGATCGGAACATGTTTTACGAAAAATATACACGAGGTCGAGAGGTTTTGATGTCTGAAGTCGCTGTAAGCAATATTTGGGCAGTATAATGGTGGCCTGTCGATTGTGAATTTGGTACAAATGTGACCGAAACCTTGACCAACCAATCCACAATTACGACCACCAAATCCCCTTCAGCAGGCTCCTTCGACAAGCAGGGGCAACTGGAGACTTTTCTTCTCTGGAATCTGGCAAACATTTCAACTGTGACGGATTGGGTCGCAAAAATGGACCGCAAAGGAAGGTCTTAGAAAATATTGTTTTAAATAAGGGCCCTGTTTCACTGGTGAAATGACTCAAAACATCTCTCTATATATTGGTCGTAATACGCAATTCATGCTATCTGGATCAAAGAATGTTACAAATGCACATGCGTGCAATTAATGCTTACTTGTACGGTCTGTCATCTGACTAGGGCTCCATGCAGCTGTTTTGGAACTATCGTCGCAGACCAACGCTTAGACTCTGAAAATATATAATTCCGATATATTTAATAATAATAATGTGCCACTTATATAGCACCAAACTCCACACTAGGTATGCTCATAGTCGTAACAATAAAAGCACAGCACATTATTACCCCGGTAACCCAAGCTGCCTGTTAGGCGTAGAAGGTCACGTAACTTATCCCACCGGGTACCCATTCTCTGCTGGGTGAACAGAGGCAAATTTGAACAAACTAACTTACCTAAGGTGAGACCACAAGTATCACATGTGCTTCGTTGTGGGGCAGGACGTAAGTCCTAGAAATTCTCAGAAGTCAAGCTGTCAAACATGGTCACCCATCCAAGAGCTCTCCGCGCCCATCGTTGCTTAACTTCACCTGATTTGTGATCTGAGCTCTGTGCACAGGACCACACACCACCACATCATTCAGAAGGGGCCCAAACAAGATAGGAAATTTAGAACCCGAAGAAAACCTAGACTTTCTTCATTTAGGGTTAATGCATTACAGGTGGTCCTGGGCGGAAATGAAATAATATATAGTTCTGGGACCGGGACGATCCAAATTTGTCGTGAACCCTGTATTACACAAGGTTAACGCTCAGGTTGCCGTTGTACAAAACGATCTTAGCGCTAAGGTGACCGTAACTCCCATACCTCAACAAAGACTTAAGGTAGTCTTAGCGCTAAGGTGACCGTAACTCCCATACCTTAACATAGACTTAAGGTAGTCTTAGCGCTAAGGTGACCGTAACTCCCATACCTCAACATAGACTTAAGGTAGTCTTAGCGCTAAGGTGACCGTAACTCCCATACCTCAACATAGACTTAAGGTAGTCTTAGTGCTAAGGTTGTTTTGTACAACGGCACCCAGACCGCACTGCAACGAGACCCAGGTTTGTACGGCTTTTTAAGGGTTCAGAATAACCAGATTCACGCTCAAAAGAAACAAGTACTTTTCTTGCTCTTTTTACAAAACTCGTGTCCCTTGAGTACAGAAAATGCTGCAGGCCTAAAGATTTCTTTCGACCTTTCATCGAGAACACTGTAACGTTGCATTGAGCATGCTTCTGGTCCACTGCAGAAAGACGAGAAAACGATTCCCTTTCATACATAAAACGGTGATGCCGCTATTATTAGTTGTGGTATCATGTGTCTGATCATGTTTCTGCCAATAGGGCTACAGAGGACGATGACACTGAGGCATCAGCTTATAACGTCCAGGTGAAGAAGTACATCATACGTAGTGGAGTTGTCAGATGCGGACATTTAGTACAGACTAACAATATAGTTTATATTTAAAATGTAATTTTACAAATTATAATAAAATATAATCCAAAAGGAGCCAAGTAGAATGCTTATTTTCAGAGGCTATCTAGACTTCCAATTTTGATTATTTTCGAGGTTTTTGAGACAGGCCATTGAAACCAAAACCACTGGACATAGAATTGTGGCGGTGGGTGAGTGGGTGAGTGAGTGAGTGAAGTTTTACGCCCCCCTTAGCAACATTCCAGAAATATCACGGCAGGGTACAACAGAAATGGGCTTCACACATTGTACCCATGTGGGGAATCGAACCCGGATCTTCGGCGTGACGAGCGAACGCTTTAACCACCCGGCTACCCCACCGCCCCTGTGGCGAGGTATGAACACAGCGGTCTTAGCGATAAGGTGATCGTAACTCCCGTAATGTTACGATCGCTTTGCGGGACGGATAACTAGCCCGAAGAAGCAAACATTGAAAACGAGTAAATTGTCGGTTTAATATTTCAGCGTCCTTATATACCAGTTGACCACGATAACCGGGGGTCAGTTGTAATCCGGAAATCAAACAGGAATTGACTGATAAGGATGACTAAAACAGAACTTCCTTGGGAAACTGAATCGACCATTTGATATATACTGACGAAAATCAGGGAACAGTACAGATGGGTATAGACTGACAAAGAACATAACACGTTTACACAGTATAGACACTGAGCGAGTTGTGTTTTATACCGCTTTTCCATTATTCAAGTCATGTGGGAAATTTAACCCTGACCCCGGGTGAAGGCGGATGTTTAACTGTGGGGATTCGTTCTTTCGTATAAACGAAACCGTTAAAATAGTCTACTACAGTCCAGCTTCAGATCAACAAATATTGTATTTATGTATTCCCTACTTTTTTATCCCTGTATGAAGGCACGAGAGACAATACACGCTTCGGTTCATCGCACATGTTAGCTTAATTAGCAGTTGTCAGCTGAAACATACAACCTGCTGACCCGACAAAACCACATCATGCCGCCAAGCAACGAGACCACACTTCGGCAGATAAAGAATTTTGTTTGTTTGCTGTTTACAGCCGCACTCAGCTGTATTCAAGCTATATGGCGGCGGTTTGGAAATAATGTATTCTGGCTCCCGATCCACAAAGCGTTCGTAGCGCTACGACATCCGTAAACCTATGATAAACTATAGAGTTACGACAGGTCGTAACGTTACGAACGCTTTGTGGATCGGGACCCTGGACCAGAGTGAGTGAGTGAGTGAGTTTAGTTTTACGCCACACTCAGCAATATTCCAGCTATATGGCAGCGGTCTGTAAATAATCGAGTCTGCACCAGACAATCCAGTGATCAACGTCATGAACATCAATCCGGCAGGAATTGGCGAGGTGAAACGAAAGGTTATGTTCAGGATAACTGCATGTATATGTTTTGCTTGTTTTTTAACGCCGCTCTCAGCAATGTTCCAGCTATGTGACGACAGTCCGTAAAAATCTAAGTCTGCACCAGATAATCCGGTGATTGTCACTGATTGACATCATGAGCATCGATCTACCCAATTGGAATACGATGACATGCATTAACAGGCCACTGAGCCTGATCGCCCTTTCCCATTATCACCTCTTACAACAGTGGTTACAGCGTTCGCTCGTCACGCCGAAGTCCCGGGTTTGATTCCCCACATGGGTACAATTTGTGAAGCCCATTTCTGGTATCCCCCGCCGTGATATTACTAGAATATTGCTTAAAACGGCGCAAAAGCATACTCAGTCAGTCAGTCTTACAAACATGGTGTGCTGAAGACCAATTCTAACCCAGATACATTTATATTCCATGCATGCATGCACGTGCGTGTGCGGGTAAAGGTGGATGCTAGTCCGGAGTTATAACCATACAAGCGGCAGATTTAACAAAGACATATCCTCAGACACCCCACCCTGGCCCAGTATACCCACTCAACCGACATGTGCTTTATTTATCCCCTGTATAATAAAGCCGAATTCAAGGCAGGGTAACAATAATTACCATCCGTCTTGTGGTGTGAGAAGCAAGGATCGAACCACCGACGTTCCCTCTCCGACAGACGCTCTGTCCACAGAGGTGGTCACACAGAAATCAACAAAACATTGAAACAGAACAAAACCAATTGCTACATTTGTTGTCCTGGACAGAGTTTTATTGAAGTATACGAGTACCATGTACTGTCATTACAAGTGATAATCCACGTCATAAATACGTACATTAAGCCGGTCTAATAGTAGTACATCACATGTACGTACGATCAGGTCACGTCATAAATAAAGGCACGAGCGAAACAGGGAGGAGAACAGAACAGCTTAGCACTTTCATCTAGGTCAATGTGAGAAACTATGCATCTCAAACAAGAGGGAAAATTAAAAAAAGATGTAACAACGCCGTAAGAATTAAAGAAAAATAATATATATTTTCTTTGCATAAAATCTCCATTAGTTGTGGTACTAAAACGTAATAATATTCGCCATATAAGGGAGTAAGATTAGCTCCACATCACAGAAATTCACATGATGTATTTCCCGCCAAAACGTGAGGTTTAATAACAAGTACAATTCAAAATACACTTTTTAAATTGTTCAAATTGACAATACCCTCGTAATGATGCCCTGTTCATCCAGGGATCACCAAACAGAGATCAGAGGAAGAGAAGAACCCACCATCTTGTGAAGGAAACATCACATCTATATATTCTTCATGGCCAATGTAGACAGACAAAGACATCTGACCTTTTAAAGTCCACATCAATAATTGAAAAGCAAAACTCTTAACATTACCTTTAATATGGTCTCAGCTGGTTGAATTAAGCACAGGCCAGTGAAGCAAAGGCATTCTGCTGTTTATAATTAACTTTCAAATTGTAGCCACTTCTCTGATTTGCTATATAGAATTAAATACATTTATGATGAGATCAAGTTCTAGCTTCAGAGACTGGTGTGCATTTGACCTTGTTCATTATAAAATGCTGTGGGTTATTCATATTTAGCAATGTTTCCAAATCTAACCCAAGGCCAAATACATTGATGCAATTGATATTGAGACATTTTTGTAGGTTCTTGGTTTAAATTCTTTGCGAGATCATGTCACGTCTTCACATATCAGTTTTGTAATTACAAATGTTTGGCTGGCCTTTATCAAAAACCCTTGCTAGTACTAATCACTGTAGTTGCCTAAAAGGTGTCATGTTACCATTAGCAATGCCAAGACTAACAGCCATGGGACATTTTCCTTCATCTGATGGTGTTTTCCACAATATAATTAGCATGAAAAACATGTGATGCTCAGAAGATAAAACATAAAGTGACTTGCTGGAGGCTATAGATCACGTAACATACAACATTCAGAGACCGGAATCCCTTTATATGGAATAGGAAACACTACAAGCTTTTCTTCAACAGCATCACATGTTCTCATGTTACACAGGGCCATTCCGAGCCCACTAGATTGGCATTACTAGGACCTGTGGAACCACATTGGCATTACCATGAATTGTGGAACCACATTGGCATTACTTGGAACTGTGGAACCACACTGGCATTACCAGAAACTGTGGAACCAAATTGGCATTACCAAGAATTGTGGAACCACATTGGCATTACCAAAACCTGTGGCGCCACACTGGCATTACCAAGATTGTGGAACCACATTGGCATTACCAGAAACTGTGGAACCAAATTGGCATTACCAACAATTTTGGCATTACCAAGAAAACCACACTGGCATTACCAAGAATTGTGGAACCACACTGGCATTACCAGAAACTGTGGAACCAAATTGGCATTACCAAGAATGTGGAACCACATTGGCATTACCAAGAATGTGGAACAATTTGTCAATAAATCTTTTTCTTCTCCAATTATCTCAAGTTAAATCCTAAAATTAAACTTGTTAAATGTGTTACGTTAGTCAATCTGTTGGACATAATCCACAAAGTTAGTTAACCACATGGGATGGTACTACACAAGAGTGATGTGGAGACTATACATATTATGAATTAGAAACACTGAATGTAATACATTAACTATTTGTCCCATACAGAAAACAATCATCTTCAGGCTTTTTACATGCTTATACTTGAGCTATGAAATTCAGATTTAAGAATGCTATGATATTGAAAATGTATATTGTAAGAATTCTCAATTTCCAAAAATGCGAAAAACAAACTGTTTGAATGGATATGTTTTTTCTGGATGCATGAAGCAGTATTTTGGATATTCATTCTCTGTATGGAGACATCGAATAACGGACCGGGGGAGAAATGAGGATGGAAGTTACGAAACTACAGTGGAATCAAATTGTAATTAATAATTCATTAAATGCCATTTTCAATCCGTTTCAAGACCCTCTATGTTACATCTGGATCTAAATAACATGAGCAAAACTACACACGGTATACAAATGAAAATGTTCAAGATTCAAATGAATGGTATGTAACAAGATTGGGAGCAGGGTCCCTTGTAGACACTGCCCCACCCCCCATGGCTCTGACAGGGGGAGGGGCGGGACATGCAACATTTACAGAAGCAGCGGAAGCGAAACTCTAGAAAAACACAATCGTGTCATGATGTTGATACAAGTTAGAAGGTATCAGAGAAGTTCAACATGTTAAAGAAGAGGTCAGATGAGCTTAGGGGTTAGGGAAATATATTGAAAAAAATGCAACATTTCATACCATTGTTAGGTTCAGTTTTCAAGTAAACCATGCAAATTCCGACTAAATGTTACAAAGGATTCTCCCAAGATGGCGCCAGTAATAAATGTAGCAAAAACCTTGTCCTTAACACTTGTATTCAATCAAATTTCTCTCTCACAGTGATCAGTAACAATCATTAGATGCGTAGAAAGTCGAGTCTTAACACTGAAAACACAAACAACGTCTTAACTGTACAACAACTGTAAATTTTAAAAATCACTTTAAATATCTATTCAAATGAGATAACATTCCCAGTAAAGTCTGTCTGATTGTATCAGAATTACAAAAGAAATATACATAAGATCATTCTGTAAACAGACAAGAGTTTGTGCAGTTACAAGCAAAAGAATTTCACATCGTTTTGGGTAGATTTGATTAGTAGCAAAAAAAACCAGTCATATGACATTTACATTACTGACATGGTAAATATTGTCCAAATATTGGTTTTATTGGTAAAATATTAGAAAAATGAAGTTACAGTTCGAAAAGTTAATTTACTGTACAAAATGTCTTTCTTGTTGAAATTATAGATTTCAAAGTCTTAAACTGTTTGAGAGTTTATTACTTTTTAAGATAAAAATCCACATAGAAAACAACAAACAGAACCTTGCAGCGATATACTGAAGTAAACTGTTTACAAATCTTTAAGAACATGCAGTCTGCTACATCATGGACAACAATCTTTAGCTTACATCATTCCCAAACATCCATCAATAACACCCGCAGAAATTGTTGAATTTAAAGTCCTTAAAAATCGGACATTTTGCTACAAATCTTTCTTTAACAAATGAAATGTCCCACAAACGTCAAAAAGAACCATTGGAAGGTGTTTTGGAACAAAGGATCCCCCTTTCAGCCATGAATACACTGGTGAGTAATAAATGTATGGCACTTGGAGAAAACGAAACCCAACAGTTTTCAGAATTAAACTGGTCAAGTCAGGACAATCCTTATACACATAAATTGAGTTGTGACTAATAGAGATGTGACTGTCCTCTCACTACACAAAAGGTGCGGTCTCGAACTGATCAACTGCAACCTAGAACTGGACAACAGACGGTGTAGGACTCATAATACACAACTGATGGCACTGCTGTCTCATTCTCAGTGCCGATGGCGCTGCGGATCTATACTGGACAACAAATGGCACTGTGTTCTTTACAAGAAGTTAAGCTGCGTCTTGTTCTTGACCAAATTACGTTTGTAGTGGACAACAGATGGCACTTCATTCTTGTAGAGGCCCAGCGTTTTGTGCTGCATTCTCATAATGGACAACAGATCACACTGGTTCTTGTACTGCACAACTGGTGGCGCTGCATTCTTCTGGAGCAGGCAATGTCTTTGTCATTGCAAATCCAAATGGCACAGCTTCACAACTGACATTTATAGTGTGTATGAAGAGGACTGGACACACAACCGTAGTATCAGACAGAGGACGCCTCATGTGGTCACATCCAATCAGGACTGATACTACAGTTGAACTTGATAAATATCAACACAAAGCATCAAAAATAAACTATTTCTAGTGGTCTATTGTTCTACTCCATCCTCCGGTGCTTCTGGACCAGTGTTCTAGGATTCAAAAATCACCATGTAGGCAAATGGTTAGCCTAGTCTCCTGCACATTTACTACATGTATATGGCACCAAATTGTTGCTGTTCATTTTGAAAACATAACAAGGTTTTTTTTGTAATTCTTCACCGAAATATTCTTAACTTATGTAGTTACTGTAATTATCAAACCAGTCAACCCTTTTTGTCTGAAGGTTGAATCACTATCATGAACACATTATTTGCAAAAGGTTTTAAATACTTTCTCCAATTTTGCAGTTCTGGTTTTCCATTTCCAGAAGCATGATTCACATCTTCCTCCCACAGATCTAAGGTTTGACTGGTCTGAAATTATTTATACAAAAAACAGACATTATCCAATCAGCTTTTAGCCCAACAAAGAATACTATGCAATAATGCAATAAATAGCGTATTGCACGGACAGAGAAGTCCAGGGTGTTTTAGACTGCACCAGGCCGCAGTGAAAGGGTCAGCTATAGCCATTCAAGCTCAATACAAAATAGCGAATACACTGTCTATAACTGTAGTCATATGCTCATCTGCACCGCCAACAACACATTAACCATGCAATAAGTAACTAAAACACTGCTAATTGATAAGTTTTGCAAAGTTTGTCAAGTAGTAACTGTGTAATAAAAGCCCTCACATGCTTTCACCTCTAGCTCACTAGCTGCCGTATATTAGTTGCAAAACAAACCGCACCGGATTCAACAGCCCTTCATGATCCTTAGAGTACAGGAGTTTCACTCTTGCTGCTCCCGGACCAAGTCTCATTATGCGCATCCCAGTCTAACTGGCAGTAGTTGCATATTAAAAAAGTATCACCATTTCTCGTCCCTGCTTCATAAGGACCATAATTCCATGTCGATGACAACAACAACAATGATGGCGGCGATGCTAGCGGCCAGCCAATCACGTCCAGGCATTCTTGGAGGACTTGCTAACACTCCTGGCACAACAAACATTGCCCTCTCAACATCAGCACAATCCTGTTCGTAGGCGAAGGCTTGGCGAAATCCTCAGCATATGTCATTTTTTCAAGGCAACTCAATTTAACAAGTTCTGCTGCCAATAAACAATAGTTTTCAACTATAGTGTTATCTTCCCCTGCACAGACACAGTGTTGCTTGTAGTTGTCCAATGTTCCTCCAGGCCGTCAGCTGCCCCAGTGCGTACGGCCAAACATTTAATGGCACTGACCAAGTGCTTGCTACAGACCTACTTTTCAAGTAAACTTCGACAAGGAAACACAAACAGATGAAAATATTCACTTTGCATATGGAAGCATTAAGAACAAACAGCTTTTTAAGCTATAGGCAATCCGACACTGCATTAAGCTTTAAGCCAAACAAGGTATAGTATATTTTTCCAGAAAGTTAGTCTTTTTCACAGGTATGGGTTTATAGTCAGTATTTTACCTGACTAAGGTAATAAGCAAGAGTAAAATCTTTCTCTACCTGTAGAATAGACAGAAAAAATATAACATCTACACTATTGGATAACCACACTCACGCACTCAGTCCATTTCGAGGGCTTCTTCGAAGCCATAAAAAAACATTGTTTTCCAGAACCCCAAAGTAGTATTATCTTTGTACACAGTAATCCTTAGGCACTATGGTTCTAGTATAATTAACACAATAGTAACGGTATAATCTAACTCCCACAAAGCACCAGTCAATATGGCCCACTCAGACACATGAGTACGATGTTGCAACGATGTTTGGAACACTTAGCACTGTTAGCTGCTGTGGGAGGGTAAGTGTGACTGAAATATGTTGGAAACTAGGGGGGAACAATACAGCCATACAGCTGCCAATACAATGATAAACAGTGATTTACAAGGTTGTATCGTCACATGAATGACACCGAAATTTTTCATAATTAGAAAGCGAATACCAAAAGGTGCTCATAAAAAATTAACGAAAAATTCAAACATTCAAATTTTGTAAAATGGTACATTTTCCTGCAATCTTTGTATTGTGATACATATCCAATCTCAACCCTTGTATTGTTACGCCCCTAGTGGAACGTTTATCATACAAAACTCTTTTCATTGTTCTTACACACTGCCAATTCATAAAGACAGTTAAAACAAGACATAAAAATCTACAATATCTCATATATGTAACTTTAAAACAGCACTAACAATCAGGGGCATTATCAAACAACAAGTTGTAAATAAAATAACAATAGCACTTACGGATGACAGGATAACCCTTAATTGATTAACCAAGTAAAATTATTGAGACAATCATGCCATAGCACTTTGATACACAGTTTACTGTGATGGTAAAACTAGGAACATATAGATATCCATGCGACACTAAACAGCACTTAACAATCGTGTGATCAATACCATTCAGGACCCTTTCCTGTGGGTAGCTGCTCTATAGAAACTTATCACTGAACATGAAGGGGATCACAGGAGACTGACATTTCTTGGCAAGATTTCTGCTTAAATGTGAAATAGCTGATCTCTTTCTTAACCAATGCATACAAGTCACAACAAGGCGATGGAAATGTTTCAACATATTTCAGCCACTGCATGGCATACAGAGTGTACTTTAAAATAGGACCCTGTCTGGTGAACATCGAACACGCTAGATTACACCGTTCATGTGGGCTATCGTGGACACCTATTAACAGGTCACGTGACTTGACAGCTTACTGTCTCGTGTGTATATGAAGTGCAGTGCATAACATTTAAACAGTTATCAAACAGCTAAAGTTGGACTGGTACCAATATCAATGGTATCGCTCTACAGACAAGAATGGTGGTTGGTTAGCTGGGTCCCTCCCATGTGCAATATGACTTTATAACAGCGTCCCCCAAACCATGCCTACAAGTCTGTACAACCATACGGAAACAAGACAGATTACTTTTGTAGTATAACTTGGCATTTAGACTCCAAAACCAGAGAGCATCGTAAGCATTAACATGAATATGGCAGTAAGAAAGAAAGGAGAATGTGAGTATTTTCAAGTGTTTCATACATGAATCGTTCATTGGATAGATAATCAGTGTTACTTTGTGCCATAGAAAGAAACATCTTAAAATAAGAAATAACAATAGTGTCAATAATCAACAAGGTATGATATAAATGTCTCTACGTTGAGTGAGCAATCATAGGTTTGAAGCAGTGGTACTACTGGTGTCCGATGTGTCTATGTCACCCATCAAGCCAACTGGCCGATGATTTTCCATGTCTGGAAATCCCGGCCGACGACTATCCATGTCTGGATACCCTGGTTGACGACCATCAATGTCAGCCATCAGTCCTGGACGATTCTCGATGTCGTTTATCATTCCTGCCGTGCGGGTTTCGATATCAGTCATCGATCCTCCTGTGCGGTTCTCGATATCGGTCATCATCCCGCTAGATCGGCTATCACCGCCGTTGGACAAAAGTCCCTGACGTTCACTCTCGGTCATTTGAAGCCGGCCTGCTTGTCTGCTCTCTACACATTTCCGCATGTGCTTCTCCAGTGTGCTTGGCACAGAAAAGGGCATATTGCAGAATTTGCATCTAAAGACGTCTTTACCAAGTCGCCCATGTGTCTTCATATGTCGTGTGAGCTTACTTGATTGGGCACATGCATAGTTGCACAAGCCGCACTTGTACGGTTTCTCACCTGTGTGGCTGCGACGATGGACTGTCAGATTGCTGCAGTTCTTAAACACCTTTCCACAATATTCACAAGTATCGTTCCGTCGACTATCTTTTCGAGCAAGAGGGTTGCCATTGACGGGAGACGAAGGTGTACTTGGGCCAGGTTTTGGCATACCTAGAGCTTTCAAGGCACTTTCGGCTGCTGCCGAGTTGAAGCCATTCTGTTCTCTCCCAAAATCTCTATGCAATCCAAATGGGTTGAGAGCAGGGTAGATATCCCGCAGAGGATTAGCAGGGGGGAAACCAGTAGCGGGAATATATAGCAGCCTCCATGTTGCTGAGGGGTTCGGAGGTTGGCTCTCGCTTGATGCCATGCTTGAGGTGCAGGTCTGAGATAGGACTTGGTCCTGAGATAGGACTACCATAACTAAAAGCACTGTGGAGTGGGTGAGAGAGGGGGAATCTGTCACTGGGAGACATCTGAGTTGGGGAGTACTCTCTCTTGAGGTCCTCACTGCTACTTCGTCCATTCTCCTCCTTCTCTCTCTCAGTGTCAGATTCCTTTGAGCTGTCATGCCTGTAGTTGTTCTCTTCTAGAGCTTGTCTAAAAGCTTCGTTGTATTGTTGAATGTTTTTCAAACCAGAGTTCTCCATCACCTCAGTGAGCAAACTGGACGTCTGAGGTTTATCTTTAAGCTCTGGAGATCCTGCCCCTGAAGGGGTGCCGTTGTGGTTCACATAGTTGCCATCAGTTGACCCCTGATCCTTGTCAGAACAATTACTGGGGTTGTCAACACTGCGATTATCTATGCTGCGGTTATCATTGCTGCGACTGTCCATGTCGTTGTTGCTGTGGTCCCCAGCCAGATGTTGCTGATCCTCACCGATGTGGTCAGCACTAACCTGATGGGTTTGCCCCTCCTGGGCTCGCCGATCCTCCTCGGCCTCCTCGTTCATTGCCTCAATCTCATCCTCCTCCAAGTCCTCATCCATCAACTCCTCCTCATCTTCATCTTCATCCTCTTCATCATCCTCATCCTCTAATCCAAAGCCTGAACCATCCAGCTTTAGAAAGATGTTCTTGTTGGAATCTGGTGTACTGCTACTAGATGGAACACTGCCATCAGAGTTGGAGGCATTGGAGCCTGAGACACCAGACAGAGGTGATTTATTCATATGTGTCTTCATGTGGCGTTTCAACTTGCTCTGCTGGGTGCAAGCATGTGGACACAGTGGGCATTTGAATGGCTTTTCCCCTGTATGTGACCTTCGATGAACAATAAGGTTACTTTGAAATCTAAATGTCTTGCCACAGAATTCACAAGCTTTGTTAGTGAGAGGCTTGTTTGCATTTGGAGATAGATGTCTTGAGATACTATCTTGAGGAAGGCTTTGAACACCTTCTTGATGTCTTGAGGGCTGCGATTGTTGATTCTGAGGCGATTGCCTTTGCATCTGTGGTGAATTTTGTTGTTGTTGCTGCTGTTGCTGCTGCTGCTGCTGTTGCTGTTGCTGTTGTTGATGTTGATGCTGATGCAAAGATGTCAGTACAGATGCTGCCTGGGTAAATGGAGGGCCTTGCTTCTGCATCACAGGAGTTGCATGAGCCAGCTGTTGTAATCGCTTTGAATAAAAATCCATATGTGATTCTATTGAGAGTCGTGATCTGGATGCCGGATCAAATGCTGGATGGCTGAATGGAGGAAGAGGAGGTGGATGATGATGATGATGATGCTCCATCCCTGGTGACAAACCAATCAGATTGGGTCTCATCCTGAAGGGGTGATGCTCGTTCATCATATCAAGGGGGAAATCCAGCCCATGTGGTGGACGGTTGAAGGGACTGAGGGGCGAGCTGATGTGCAGCGGTGAGCCGTGGTGAGGGGGCTGGACAGTCTCCAGAGGGGGGCGAAATGGAGGGAAAGGTGATGGGTGTGGAAATGGCGACTCTGGCCCACTGCTGATTACCGAAGGAGGAGTTCGATGCTCGGTGCTTGGTCTGGGTGATGGTGTTGAGATGTCTAGTGGGGGAGGTGGGGTCGTGTAGATCTTCATACCATGTTCTTTTTGAGCGTGTTGCAGCAGGGTCCATGCTGAGTTGAATGTTGATTTGCAGTTCTCGCACACAAACTTGGAGGGTTCTGAAAAATACAGAAATAAACATAAATATGATGAAATTTGTTTCATCAAACATAAACATGTATTTCTTAAAATTGGGTACCATCCTCTATTCCATTTCCAATTGGATGAGGTCAATAATTTCTGCATCCAGGCTGTTGATAGGTTGAAAAAGCTCTGATTTCATTATTAAACAATTCAAATGTGTATCTACACACCTTGATCAACATAGATATGGAATTAAGCACCCATCACCCATTCTGAAGAAGGGCAATCTGACCATGGTTATACTACAAGCAGCTCAATGGTACCATAACAGGTGTTTCTTGCACAGAACTGGGTTAGGAAATATTTGACAAAATGACAAAGTGTTTGATATTACATTTTATTTATGATTTTTTTCTGAATACACTGACTGCCACACTAACATCACCTAATTCCAAAAGAAGCCCAACCTTTTGTCCCTGTCATTGACAATAATAAGGTACGACAGGCGATACTTTGATATTCACTGAGAAACTCATTCCTTTACTCACAAAATGATAATCTCTTTTCGGGTGACAATAAGTCATTGGTCTTCACTATTACCATTCATGAATGTTTATTAGGCAACATAAGGATTGTATTAGTGACACGATACTGACTTTTATTTGATGACATGAGCTGATTTGCAAGGAAGACAGTTCACTTTTGTAGAAATATTTACAAAATGTCATCTTCTTTGCAATTGTCAGGATAAGAAAATATTTTATTTAATTTCCTGTAATAACATTCCCCATTATTCAAATGCCTTATGGTGAACATATAGTCTATGAAATCTTTTGTTAACAGGGATAAAAATACTTTTTTATCTAAGTGTGCCTTAGGGCACCAGACAAACAGTTTAAATGTGCCTTTCAGAAATCAAGTGTGCCCATATGTTTTTAGAATAAATGACTGTAGCAGTGATGATGATCTTTTGAAAATAAATTTATTGTTAGTAAACAACAAATGTAACCTGTTTTCTGTTATCACTGATATGTCTTCTGTTTAAAGATGGCTTTCTTAAGCTTCATTTGTTCTGCTTTCCCCCCAACATCTTTAATAGCTAAGAATTTTGTGACAGGTTCACTTGTTCAATATATCTAACATGCACAATTTCCTGTTCAATAACCAAATTATCAGTACTCCCTTCACTCTAAATGGAAAAACAACCACATTTCTTTACATCATCCATCATAATTCCAGTGATTTCCTGGGCGATAAAGTCAATAAATGTTTTTACTTGTTTGTCATTTGCGTAAGTGTTTTGTTTGGGGGATTAAATGACTAAAGGTGAGTTATGTCTCTAAAAAATTAGGTGTGCCATAAGGGCACCAAGAACGTTTTTTATCCGTGCCATTTCAAAATTTACTGTGCCATGGCACGCTAATACATGTGTAATACATGGGGTATTTCGAACCCTGTGTTACACATTACATTTCCCTCCACTAAACCAAATGCTTGTGGTAAACTTCCAAAGCTTGCATCACTTCAGGCTGTCCTCTCATGTTTAACTTTTTAGACTTTTCAAAACAATGATAAACCCACCTTCCCTCCCACCCACCCACCCATCAACTCACTCACTCATAACATGATATATATTATCCTGATGGCGTGGAACAGCACTGGCTTCCTTTTTAGTAATCTGGATGGATTTTGTTTTCACAAAATACATGTTTTCCGCCACATGAACAGGACTACCATTTCTTCAACACAGCGCATGTGTTAAAGACTTACAACATGGCAAATGCACCCTTCCACTCTTCACGGTGCCTGCTGGCATGGTAACACAAGGATGGATGTCAGGTTTCCAAATTGTTAAAGACCAGTAATTAGCAATATCAAATCATATAATCTTCCCCTTGAAATCATATCAGCAGAGGGTTAAATGAAGGCAGATAGTTCATAAACAGCTTCACAGAACACAGGGAAGATGACCTTAACTGTGCTGTACATTTGGGTGTGACGGCATACTTTGACAGAAATATCTCCTGATGCACTTGCAATTACATGTTGCTCCTGGAACATGTGTCTGAGGCCTGGCCGAGGGGTGATGGGGAGAAGAGGGGGTGATGAGGGGGAGACAAGGGGGAGACAAAGAGGGGAGAGCACTGGGAGAGGACGCAGTGAGGGCAGGGACACAGACAGGCTATCTAGCTGTTGCCCATGCTTGCTGCAACAGCCTGTGTTTAGCATCCTAGCTGCCAGAGATGGAATGGACAGATTGAAAGCTTCGTTCTCAAGTTTCCCATCAGGCCACAGTTTTTTGTCTCCCCAAACAGAAGAAATGGCTGGTGGCCAGGTGGTGGCAGAGGATGGTGAGCGGGCCCAGGAGGGAGGGGGCGAGACTGTCCTGATTGCGAATAGATCCGCATACGGTGCATCACTTGATGAAAATGTGTAATGTTAGGAATCTTGATGGTGTTTTCTCACCAATCTCATTAAATCACTTGGCTGGAATCTTTCATAAAAATAGATAAGATGAAGGACAGAAACCCACAACAGACATTTATAACCTGTTGGTAAAAGTGGACCCACTTCCTGGTCAGACTGAAGACTATGACCCAACCTGAACTGAGGCCTTACAGTTCACACCTCACTAACACACTACTACCAGGTCTTCATACTCCTATCTCTGTCGAAAAAAACCCCTTTCCCTTTGCATGTTGAACAGGAGCCAAATAATCAGTTTTTCGGCCATTGGTTGGTTGTATATGACATGGCAGTCTAGATAAAGCCTTGTGCACTTGTCTGACATCGCCACAACCTGCGTTGGCTACTGAGGTTAGCTTCCTCAAGCTATGCCATGGAAACCTATCCGCCTGTTTTTATACACCCTGGTGGTTATAAATAACCCCCAACATTTCAAGCCAAACTAGGGCAGGGGTGAGTGAGGGAGGAGGGGTGGTGAGGGGGTCTGTCTGAGAGCAGGCTGGTCTGTGCTCAGTGTGTTCCCCCGGCACTGTGTGGTCTGGCCATCAAGGAGAGGCTGGGCAGGGAACGCTGCATCAGTGTGAAGCTGGCAAACAAGGCTGACACTTGATGGGAATGCCAGGCTCCCACTACAAGCAAGCATTCACACTTACATTATGCCATTGATATGTTACATACTTTCCACTTGGTTTACACATCACACAAATGGTGTCACACTTCATCCTTACCGTTGGTGCCAGAACACAGGACATGCGATAATGGCTGACAGTTAATCAGGAGCTGCTGAGTCACACAGTTTTCAGATAAGACATCAAGCACATTCTGTAAGATGTCTTCATGTCTTGCCAGAGATCTTTTAATCTGTACCATGTCCCACAGAGACAATTTATACCATGTCACACACAGAGACTATGTATACCATGTCACACACACAGAGATACAATCTGTACCATGTCCCTAAGAGACAATGTATACCATGTCACACACACACACAGATACAATCTGTACCATGTCCCACAGAGACAATGTATACCATGTCACACACACAGATACAATCTGTACCATGTCACACAAGAGACAATCTATACCATGTCACAAAGAGACAATCTATACCATGTCACACAGAGACAATCTATACCATGTCACACACAGAGACAATCTATACCATGTCACACACAGAGACAATCTATACCATGTCACACAGAGACAATCTATACCATGTCACACAGAGACAATCTGTACCATGTCACAGAGAGACAATCTGTACCATGTCACACAGAGACAATCTGTACCATGTCAGAGAGACAATCTGTACCATGTCACAAGAGACAACCTGTGCCATGTCACACAGAGACAACCTATATACCATTTAAACATACCATATCTATCGTGAGACAGTATATACCTTGTCACACAGATCTCATTACACACATCACACACGCCTCATAACATGTCCTGCACACCTCATATACCATATCACATTCATGCACTGGATTGTCTGGTCCAGACTTGATTATTTTGCAGGCCATACTCATGGCTCAAATATTGCTCAGTGAGTGAGTTTAATTTTACCCTGCTTATAGCAATATTCCAGTAATATCACAGGGGACACCAGAAATGGGCTTCACACATTGTACCCATGTGGGGAATCGAACCCGGGTCTTTGGCATGACAAACAAGCGCTTTAACCACTAGGCTACCCCACCGCCCCCAAATATTGCTCAGAGAGACATTAAAAACTAACACACATTACATCCCATGTGACTCAAAACCTAGTATATACAATGTCACACAAGAAAATGGGGTAGTTTAACTTTGGGATTGTAAGACATCACCGTATGACCCATCGATGGTCACAAGATACAGGTCACATCCCGTACAGCTACTGAAGCGCATCACACATTGTGGCCATGACACAATTACGTCTTCTGATAAGACATACCACTTTTATTAGATACTTTTGATCTCTCACTTTATTTGAAACCTTTTCAATTTGTCAAATTTCCATAGCTGTCAAGGCCGCCAATCTTAAAAATTTCTTAAAGATTATATAAATTCATAATTACATTTGTACAAAAAGGATGTTAATACTGTGTTATTCGATTTCTTCATCAAGACAAAACAAAGCTTGAGATATGAAACTATAAAAGGAATTTTGAAAATGAAGATCCCTTATTGCATAATATGCAGTGAGTTTGTTGTGGAAAGACATCCGTATGTAGACTCCCCCTGTTGTCTGGTAAGCAAGCAGGCCGACCTGTGAGAAGCAGGCAATCAGGCACACCCTGGAGGCCACTCTGTCCAACAGAGGGATCTTATGTCATCCAAGCAAGTGCCATACATGGCCTGCTGCCTGCCTTCCGAACCAGCGGACGGACATTCATGCCAGATCCCTTGATCTGCTCTGCCTGTACCGCTTGCTTGCACAGCAAGTCTGCACTGTGCAGAATGCACATGGGTGCGGCCAGTTAGCGCACGTAGCTTGAATGTCCTCCACTGCATATCACGAGGGTAAGAGTAAGCAATGGACAGTGGTGTGACTTGGTGCATGTGTGACCTACTGCACCCG